CTTTTCAAAACTAAATTTATTTTTTACAAATTCAGCACTTGCTTCGGTTTATTAGGCACAGAATTGGTAAAACACCCATTCTCCAGGTACGTATTTCCAGGCTGATATACCGACGTGTACCAGAGTTGATATGTCGCCGTGGTATGCTGTGGCGTTCCACTCCATGAAAGCCTGATCGTGTCCTCCTTTACCCACGGTCACTATGCCGTCCTTGTAAGCGACCCAGAAGGGGCGGCTTTCTTCGGCAGTGACGAGAAGTTCTCCGTGGTCGTAAACCGATTGGCCTCCGAGTAAGGGGTCGCAAGTTGGACCAGGCGAAAAACAAGCTCTTATGGCGGACTTGTACATATTGAAGCCACCGATGTCTGTGGAATTGTCATCAAAGACATTTCGTGACTGAGGAGTACGGGAAAGGGCGGCATAATAAAACTTGGGTAAATTTGAACTCTTTTAAAGTAGATATGGATATGACACCGCTTAGACACAAACAGCGATGCGCATAAGACTGCCAGCAACACTACTCGGAAATGAACCGTAGATTCTACAAATCGATACCTTTTGTTATCCTGCAATATCATCGCTTTTATAACTTGCGATGACTTTGATATACCCCTGTCTCTCTAAACTGTACATGCATTAGGCCAGAATGGTCACTGACTGGTCAATAAAAGGCGTATCACCTTCATCCTAGCGCACGTCACACACGTGATATCATAGTCTCCATCCACAGCCCAAACTACAACCCAGGGACCGTTTGTACTCGTATTCATTGGTACCTGTTCTACTCTCGCGGGAACAGTTAATAACTGAGTTGAAGAGGGAACAGCGAACTGGTTTACATATGATACGGTCAGGAACACTTTAATTGTTTTCAAGGCTAATGTCTGTCAAATACCGGTTCTGTCTCAACTCATTTCTCGTTACAATTTTTAGGACATTAAGATCTTGTTTTCGAGCAAGACACATGCGACCGACACAATCAAAACGATGCATAGAGTCCGGCCGTGCACGTCCTTGAAACTGTGCATGCAGGAATGGAAAGACGTTCGTCGGTAAAAGCTAAGACACTTCAGGTGTTGAAATATTGAACTCACGACGGAGGTACAGCAAAACAGTTATCGACTGCTGTGATATTGGATATTACTCTTAGAACCCGGGAAAAGTTTCTATGCGTCCTTCAGGTGATATTTTTATCAATCGTTACTTAGCTTATTTGCTAAATATGACACACAAATAATTAAAATTGTATATTTGGACTTAAAAGGACCATGAAATAGAAATATTTTACAAAAACTCTTAAAATTGTACTTTTGGGTCTCAGTTAACTTGAAAATTCGTTTTGCAATTTTAACCCAGGTTTTGGATTTTTTGGAGATTTTATACCAATGACATTTGCATATTCATAAGCAAAACTATGATGTCATCCAAGGCACTGAATCTCAATGTTGCACCAATTTTTGCACAGAAAATTTCTGGATTTTATTAAACACTGCTATCGTAAATTTCATTCCTTTGGTAATTTATTTTTGTTCAAGTACATGACAATACGCCAGCAAGTATCCATTCCACATCAGAAACGTTTTCAGATAGGAAATTTTGAATTCACAATTTGAACAGGAAAACATGCAAACTGAACCACGTCTTCCTGGATTTACATCAAAGTAAAAGCGCCCGTACTTGTCTAAAAATGCTCGGCCAATTTTGAATGTTTAACAAGTACACTTTTCAGTTCACGTAACGCAAAAAAGATGTCGAACAGTCTTCATACATTGAAAAAGTGTTCAGAGATACACAAAAAGTGCTTCTAAGAAAAATTCATTTCATGAATCCTTCAAATTAAATCCTTGGTTCTCAGAGAGATCAGTCAATTTCAAATGCGTGCGCAAGGAAAACATAAAAATGTCATTAAAATGTGGGCCCCGAACAGGCCCGATAGAGGGCGCAACTTTCCCAGCAACGGAGGGCTGTTGGTAGTACAGGTCTGCACATCACTGGTTCACAAACGACTACGAAATGCAAGCGCTGCAGTCGCATCGCTACCAAGAAAATGAACACTTCCGACCAAAATGGCTCTTTTCAAACGACGAGGGACCCGTGCTTTTGCTCAAGGCAGATATCAATTGCTTTTCCATAATGGCTGTGAAATACCCCGCCATTACGGTTAATTTGTGGGGTGCACTGAATGATCGTAACCTTTTCCTCCAATTTGACATTAACACGTGTCACATAACAAAAGACGGCGTTGGTACGCGTTTCATTTATACAAAGACTTTAAATCTTTCCATATCAAGGATTTTGAAAATCGACCCCAGAGGCAACTGACAGTAAGCTAAAATACTCAGGCATTTTATTGCAATAACTTTACAAAACTGTTCTCTTTTGGGCTTAGTAGAAAAAATAGACATTTAAAAACCACCGGTGGTTGTCGCTGGGTTCGTTGGGTTTTATGTCAAGACAAAAATAATTTCCTATTTTGCTTCAAGAAGTTGGGCATTTTGTAAGGGACCACATGTGGATAAATTTTGGCAAAATAATGTTCCTGCCAGTACTTCAAGTGATTGTCACCAATACTCACCTATCCACGCGAATGAAGATTCTTCTGTCCTTTCTTCCGCCAAGACTAACATGCCATCGCGCCTAGTCTTCACGTGGAAATCCAGACGAAAAGGCTCGTACAGGGGCTGCAAGATGAACGTGATTCCGGGTGGGTTTGAAGGCTCCAGGGCGAATGAACAAACTGGGAGGAAATACCCAGGAAAAAGTCATAACTTTTACTATTCGCTCGTCTCCTGAATTTTGTGGTATATTAGAAAACTCAAAACATGCATGCCGAATAGGCCTAGGGTTTGCACGGTGCTCAACACGGACATTTGTAGGGCCTATGTCATGCTTTGACTTGTTGATACCAGATACAGCACCATGACTCGTGCAACATGCATACAGTTAGTGTTGATGAACCGCAGGGCTCGGGTGCATTATTTCCGTAAGATCACGTCACACAATTTTGATCAGACTACGACAATCACACTCGTTCTCAGACGTGACGTAATATTCTTAATATATCCCTCATTGTCAACTTATGCCATTCGTTTTTAGTGTTCTTTCGGTTCTTAGTTTTGTTTGCGATCACATCTAAAATTCAGTATAACACTGGGTGATGTAAGTAGGATAATAGTGTGGGAATAAAAGGCTCGTTTTTATCTGGATGACAAAGTCAGGAAAACCTATCTGCCCTCCACAGCAACGGAAAGACGCCCGGCGCATGAGCCATGACCATACATTCGAACTATATGATGTAGAACAGAAAGTCTAGATCGGTGGCGCGTTCATATGCGCAGTCTTGCCCGGAGGCTCAAGTGCTGAAGGAGAGCAAAAAATGTAGGACTGAAAAAAAATCTACTGCGTGTGCATACACGCCCATTCACTATGCAAAGATAGTTCTCTATTTTGTGTTTTTTTATGGACGCAAAGTATGAACGTAAAGTTTAGACCTATGAAGTACCCACAGTGCTGCCGATAAAGAAAAACAAGGAGGTTATTAATAAGACTTACATGTCGTAGAGCCGAGATCGCCTGGTTTTCCACGGCACTGTGCTTGGAAAGCCGTAAAAGCTCTCTCGCGGAGCGAGCCAAGATCGTCACCGGCTGAAGCCTTGGTCATAGCACTACACATCTCTCCATGCACGGCTAGCAAGCAGAAGGAGCAAACCAGCCCAGGAGCCAAAGTCAGGATCAAAACGTAGCGCAGATCATTCATGTCTATCCAACTTATCTTCACTTCTTGCTTACTGGATTTAAACTGAGACGGCACAACTCCGTACCATGTTGCTTTTTCCGTTCACGTGCGTGCTCGCTGGAGTCAAACGTTTTAGTTGCCATAGTAACCACGACGGCTGCATGGTTGCTGCGATTAATGAATACTGCTCGAAGGGCCGCTATTACATTCAATAAATTCCATGCCAACTGTCCGTGCGCAAAGCATTTCGTTTTAAATTAGAGATTTCCTCGATAAATGGAACAATGAAGATGGCTGGCTACCGTCGGCGGAAACTGGATATGATGCTCCACCGGCTGATATTAGATTAAATGGAACATCAGCATGAGAATCTTCGCTGAGCTAAAATGCTAATAACTGGTAAGAAATAACAACTGGCAGAGTATTTACAGAATTTCCATAGAGTTCCTCTTCGTGTTACAAAATATATAGGCCTAGGCCTACTCGACCTCTCTTAGGACAAGTTTTGATAGACTTTGAATTGCTGAATGCAATATCTTAAGATATTGGTTGAGTTAAACAAGCGGTTAAGGCAACATTTATACATAGCACCAAAACAGGTTAAAGTTCCATCAGCGACTATCCCTCTACGACCGTCCAATTTTGCCTGGCGGCTTTATTTCGTACTACTCCGTACAGGAAATCGACCACTGCTCGACAACTACAATGTACTCGCTGACCTCGGGCCTGTACACTGTTAAAAATTCCTCTACAGAACAATGCCACGTGAACGTACATGGACAGATTTTTATTTGTAGATTCAAACAGACTTTGTTTTCCGACTAAAGAAATTATGGTTGTGGAAAACAAAACAACGTAGACGAGATTGACTATGGCTGCTTACGCTCTTTATAGCGTGACGACATTTATAACATGTTTGATTATATGCGTCATGACTTACTCTCTCACCTGATATATAGACGCAGTGTATGAACACAGTTACAGACGAATCACAAACAACACTAAAATGGTACGCAGCTGGCTTATGCACCGATTTTTCTTTCAAACTTAGTCACAGTTGGCAGGATGGCAGGAAAAAAGTCTTAAATTCTGTTTTAGCAGTTCTTATCTTTAGCATGCAAAATGATGTAAGATAAAATTCTTTACCCACAAAAGCATTACCTGTAGTCTCTCTCGCGATAATAGAAAACACGAGAAGAACGGCAAAACCAGGTTGATGGAAGTGGGTCACAGTGGCGCAGCAAAGTCAACACGAAAATGGATGTTAATTCATGTTACACAGGAAAACTATACATTTTCAAAGCTTGTTGTGTGGTTCTGTTGTACCACAAAACATCACTACACATTCACAAGAGTACGTCTTTTACAAATATTCTACGTTATTTACTGACACGTTTTGCAGAAAACCCATAGAAGAACATCATGTTTACCATTTCTTGCTATCACTAACACAACCAAAATCCTTGAACTTAATTGTGAAAAGCATAGCCTAGTCTGATGCCTTGATGAGAGTCGAGCTGGACCGAAAGAGGGTATATTGCAACGGAGGCTCCTTTGGCGGGAAGCGATATTTTTCCATACCACACATTCGCTATGGCCACATAGAGTTGTGTACAAAATGGTTATAGACGATGCATAAGGGTTAAAGGTCACACGATATAAAATAAGTTCCTCCCTGCTTGCACCGCATCCTCTGCGAGATGGTAACGATTGCAACGTAACGGCTACAATTAGCTTAAAATTAGACTTGGATTGTCCAGTTTTGAAGTGATAATCAATTATACGTAGGCCAACAATTTTCAAATTTGTAACACACACGTAGCCTACTTGAAATAAAGTATTTTGTGGAAAGAGTTCCTAATTTTTGTATGCAATTTCCCCAGTGCATTTTTCCCCTAGTGCATTTTCCCCTTGTGCATTTTTCCCTAGTGCATTTTCCCCTGTGCATTTTCCCCTGTGCATTTTTCCCTTGTGGATTTTTCCCTGTGCATTTTTCCCTTGTGGATTTTTCCCTGTGCATTTTTCCCTTGTGGATTTTTCCCTGTGCATTTTTCCCTTGTGGATTTTTCCCTGTGCATATTTCCCCTGTGCATTTTTCCCCCTTGTGCATATTCCCCTGTGCATTTTTCCCCTTGTGCATATTCCCCTGTGCATTTTTTCCCCTTGTGCACATTCCCCTTGTGCATTTTTCCCCCTTGTGCATATTCCCCTGTGCATTTTTTCCCCTTGTGCATATTCCCCTCGTGCATTTTTCCCTTTGTGCATTTTCCCCTGTGCATTTTTCCCCTTATGCATTTTTCCCCTTTACGTGTACATGTAGGCCTAGGACTGTGTTGGCGACGACCGACATTCAGCTACAATTTGAATTTCTATGATTCATCACACAAGCGTTATTCTGCACATCGCTAGATTTTTGAGTAGACACATGCATACGGAAGCGTATAAGGGCCACTTGCAAAAAATCTTTTCTAGTTACTATCTCGCCGCGGCGAGAGTAACTGCAAGTAACACAAGTAACTGCAAGTGGCCCTTATACGCTTCCGTACATGCACAACAATCACAAGGACAACAAAAAGTAGGCCTTCAATGTACTTCAAAGTTCAGGCATAATTTACAAGCGACTATGTTACCCATGCAATACATTGCACTTCTGCTGAGCTCAACAACGTGGGGGCGTGCAGTGTGGTGTATACACTCAGTAATACGTGAGCGCTTAACGCAAGTACAGCCACCGCGAGCGCCAGGGTCGAAACTCTGTCATGAATCATGCATGAGCTAGTTCATGTAAAACTGGCCCAATTTGCAATGATTTGCATACCTAGCGAATAATGTGGCAGGTTAACTAAATCGCTGGCAGGAAACTTCGCTGGTTCACAAACGATTATGACATGCGCGCGTTACAGGCGTGTCGCTACCAACAAAGTGAATACTCCGCACCAAACTGGCTCTTTTCAAACGGATGAGGGGGTGCTTCGGCTCAAGGCGGATATTATACAATTTTACCTCAAGGCCAGGTTGCCTAAACATTAATGTTTGAATTTTGAGTGTTATCTTGAATAGCAGAAGGAAGCTTCTGCTGACACGCCGGATTAAAAAAAAACACACACATTGCTTTCCTGAATGTGCAGCGTTATGACCACACCGTTAACTCCCTTAACTTCATCAGGCCACAATTAGACATAGCCAAAGGATATTATTTATGTACAGAGATACTGCATAATGTGAAGCATGATAATTCCAACTATAATACTGTGTAGTATGTACTGGCTCATGGCTTCTGATCACTGAGCAGCGCGTAAAACAATACTGGTTGGGTACCAGGTAGCCGTGGACACTCCATCCACAGGGAAACAATCGCACAACCAACAGCTGTCGAGCAACACAAAGATGGAATAGCCGCCGGGTGATAGTGACAACGTGTACGTATGCACAATAAACGTTTCCAACAAACTGGCATAGAGGGATCCCAATACGAGGCTTTTAGCGTCGATTTGTGCACTTCCGCGTTTGAAAACGAGGCTGTTATGTGTCAGCTTCAATTCTAAATACGATCAGACGATTGAAAGTAAGGAGTCAAGACACAAAATACATAAATTATGTTAAATTCAGACTTTTCAGGCTGCAAATTTTTGTGGAAGAGTCTTTCAGATTGACTCCACACGTCAAATCAAACGAAACAATAACGGCAATTTACCGCGAACTAACGTACCTGCGATGGTCGTGTATCTGCATGTGCAGAGGGCGTGGTTCAAACTGAAGTGGCATCACGCTTAATTAAGAACCGGATACTGCATATACTGCGTCGACTTCAACAGAGAGCCTCGGGCTCGATGCTGATACGTGCAGACAGCGCTAGTCTCTCTATAGCGTGTCATGAAACTGAAAAACAGTCAGGGGTGAAAACACAATAGGTCACGGACACAGACAGATGGATCCCAACAACAATGGGTAAAATCACGGAAATTAGACTGAAACTGCAACTCACGTGACTCACCAACCTCGGGCTTAATTTGGACAGACAGCAAGGGAGCGCTGCACGCACTGAGCGCGCCACGGCAATGTACATGTACATGTACTGTTCATCACCTAAGCATAAAAGCTTAATTTACATTAATACGTGATTTTCACATCAGATGACTCCCAAAAAGCATTAAAGACTCGCAAGTGTGGCAATTATATCAATATCAAAGAGCATGAACAACCAGGAACTGTGATTGGTAAGACTGGATTGGTAGATTGAATATAGCACAGGGCTAATTGGTTGGATCGGATGACGACTTCAACAACCTGCGTGATGTGGCAAAACAAGAGTTAGGCTCGCCTCAAGTCGGAGCACTTCAACATCGAGGACAAAATGGTGTTTTGCCATGAAGCGGTAAACAAGGACATGGCTTCAAGAAGGAAGAATGTCTGACAATATTGCTTGTGACAAGGAGAGGTTGAATCCCGATTTGAATGTTATATTCTCCTTCAATTGAACAAAATAAAACATTTGCATATTATTTACAAAACCGTTGCAGACAATGCAAGTGCACTTTTCGCGGTTGAATAAGAATTGTATATATGTTACAGATAAAGTAAACTTCGTCAAGAAGCCCTGAAGCGTGGAATACAGAATCAACTAAAATGTCACATAAATCTTAATCTGTGAGAGAAGAAATAAGTAAAACTATGACTTTTATTAATTTTAAATGTTTCTCAAAGGACATAGCCTTGTCACCATTTTGCACAGGCTCTAACGTAAACATACAACCATTTAAAACAAGTTTAAAAAAACGATTACAAAACCAAAGTTACAATAATTATGAAAACACACAGCACGAGACGAAAAACATACTCTATAGACGTACAAAAATTTCTTAGAGGATACTTTCGGAGACAACTGTAAGTTGTAAGGAGAAAATGTCAATTGTACAGACTGGTACAGCATTGGTTAATCTCTAGACACAGAGATCTCCGTGAAAAATGGATGTGTATCAGGCGTCCAGTTTTAAACTTGGGAACCACCTGTGAACTTTAAGTCAATCAGAAACGAAATGACTCGAGTTAATGACTCCAGTCACAATTTCAGGCGCTGACGTCATCATCCTTCACAGCCTCCTCTCTAGTTCATTTTACTAACTTAATTGATTAACTGAAAATTCAACCGAGAGGCCAAGGTTAAATGTAGCTACCAAATCATTAGCGGCCTCGAAGTCCAATTATAAAACGGTCCATAAAAATAGATTTTGGCAATAGACGAAACACCATATTAGTTAAATGATCGGCCATACCCATTCACGATATACAATCCACGCTGTTGACCTTAATATTTGTAGGTAAGGTTTTCGAACCAGGAACTATTATTTTGTTTGAGATACATGGTTCCAGACTACCTTACTATCAATTTTTCCCTCATTAATGAATATCCCCAGTGCTTAGCATTGTATATTAATTCCAAAAGTAATTTTCATTAAGTACAATATGAATTGGTCTCGTTTCTTTATCCCCAGTGATCCAATTGTGCATTTTTTTTATAAACTCTCTGTTTGTGAACGATATAGCAGATTGTCAACTTAAACTACAAAAAAGAATACTCAAAATTTCAAAAAATGTTGGTCCCATCAATGTCATTAATAGCATCGAAAGGTACATTACCTACAGTCATCTTTGAATTTGTGGTCATATACATACTTAAAAGAACTACACTCGATGCAACATCCAATTAATTCGGTATTCACGTGGCCACTAAGAAAAACGAATGACAAGAGATGCCTTTCAGTGGACTACTTTGAAAGAGAAAGTTAACAAAATTAATATTCATTACAAAAGGTTGCAGCAACATCACTCTGGGAGAGAAAAAAACATCAGTCGAAAGTGAGACCTACCACTGCCAGCTTGTCTCTGCACAAGGCGTCAATAGCTTCTGCCTGGGATTCAGACAAGTGGGTCCTCGAGTCCCCAGTGACGCCTGAAAGAAACAAACCCATTTAGACCAATGGAAATATGTCTTGGTGCCTATACTGATTAGGAGCCAATTTACAAAAAGAACCCATGCATTATCAGTGCGCCAATGCGTTATAACAATAGAAAGAATCCAGGTTTTCCTGTTGAGATCACATTGTATTTTGTCTTGTGCCCAAGGTGCTCGCAACCCTTGGCGTGTGGGCAGTTTGTCCTTGAAATGAAGTTCTTGCTAGAGTTTACTCAGTGCCTCCAACCATCTCAAACTGGAGTCTTATTGGAATTGGAATCGTTACTTGGTTGATGAGTGGTCCGCTTGTCCGTCTGCCAGTCTTTTGTTTGTTTTATTTTACTCAAAATAGGTCGTCAAAACACAGAGGAATTGTGAACAGTTGTGTTTTAGATCCCATGACTTACCTTTCCGCATAAAGGACACACCCTCTTGTTTCCCCATGATCTGTTGAATGAGGACATCTGGATTGGTCATAGGGTTCTTCTTCATGTTGGCGAAGGTGCAGTGGTCGGTGATGGCATCGATGATGTCATCCGAGAAAGATTTGCCAAGGAACTCGCTAATCCTTTTCACATTACCCCTCAGATCCTGAAAGACCCCGAAAATAAATGTAGTTTTTCTTTCTCCTTCTTAATGGTAAAGATTACATCTTGGATACCATGCATTCAAGCAAAACGCAAAAATGCCAATTACACTAGAAGAACAGTCTTGCACTAGGCAATGCCATTGCTGACTAGATGAAACGAGGTTTCGCTTATGCAATGCAAAAGAAAATGCTAACTTTTTACTCTCAAACATAATATTTCTGATAAGACCTGCCACCTGCTACATCGAAAAAGACACCGTTGGATTCCTTACGGTGGTTTTTAAGGGACATTGCAAATCGAAATTCGAGATTTGCCTCTCAACTTGCCAATGCATGTACTTACATCAAAATCAATGTTTCCTATGTCACTTGCTAACTACAGATTTCTCAATATTGGTGCAATCTAAAAACTCCAAGGTCAAATTGACCCAGAATTGGGTCCCACTTGGCGAGACAATTTTCTGGGTCAAAATATGACCCCCTTTTGGGTCATAATTTGACCCGGAAAAGGGTCATGCCGAATGGGACCCAAAATCACATGGATCTGCCTCTTTTTTTCTGTGAGGAAAGGAAAAATGAGTTACCTTTTTCATGTCTTCAAATCGCAGAAGAAGAATGTGATCTTCGTTTCTCCTTTCCCAGAAGTAGAGGTAATGCTCCCACCACTTGCCATAGCCAACTACAAGGTCAGGAAAAGACAACGCATTGCTAAGGTTTCAGCGAAAATGTTTGAGAAAATGTTTGATAATGCAATACACAAATGTTTTTAAAATGTAAAATGCTTGTAACATAAGAAACAATGGATGATAAAGATTCAAAGCTTTCCTCATGAGAGTGCACCTTGTACATTTTGACTTTTGTGTGTTAGTTTAATAAATAATTTTTTGTAAATTTTATGAGTTTATGGATCCACTTTGCTACCCCTGATTACATTTATTGCTGTCACGAATCCACATTCGCAGTGATTTTGTTGGTAGTTTTTACTTAAGAACTTATTTTCCAAGTATGACGTACGTCTAAGAGGCAAAGAATGACTTCAAAACTTCGTTGAAGCCTTTATAGTCAACATCGCAACAGATTTCGATCATTAAGAAGTGTTTTTTGTGCCATGACCCATTGTTGAATACTGGAAATACAATACCAGCCATTGGTTTAGATAAGTTCAAACTGCGTCCCCGAGTCTATTACTTACTGTCACCACTGTGGAACCTGTCGAAGAAATCATCCCAGCTGATATCAAGATATGGACACAACAGTCGAGTGTGATGGAAGTAGGACACGGCCACGTCTTTCGGGTTCCTGATGACGTAGACGATCTTGACCTTCTTCTCCCAGACCTGGGGAGGGAGGAGTTGACCCGGGAGGTGGGACTTGATGAGGCGAGGAGAACTCCTGGGCATCCAACCGATCATCCGGTGAGTTCGAGGGCACTAGCAAGGAAACCGAAAAGCCAAACGGGAGATTTGAAGAAAAAAGAACTCGCAATTCAGGCTGCAATTGAGGGAAAAGGTAGCCTGATTTATCACACGAGAGAACAAGGATACTTTTCCACAATGGTACTCCTTACCCTAGTTATTCTGAATCCAATTACAAGGGCCTTATAAGCTTCGAGATGAATCGAGAGAGGGCAGAATTTTCGTAGCAGGGGAGGCTCTTTTGGTCGGAACTGAACTTCGCTGGTCCACGAACGACTAGAAAAGTACGCCTTACGGTCGCATCACTACCAACAAAATGAAAACTCCCAACCAAAATGGCTCTTTACGACTGATGAGGTGGTGCTTTTGCTCGAGGCAGGTAATAAAGGCAAGACGTATCTGCTCGCATATGCCACTTTTTTTCAAGTTTAATTATCCCCCCCTAAGAAAAATCATCTAATTATATCAAATGGATTATGACTAACCGAAGTGGCACAAAAATCACGTTGGAAAATAGGCAATTTCTCTTTACGGTGAACGATTTAGAATAGGGCAATCAACAAAGAAGAATTACACATTTAAAAAACTGAGACTGACTTGAACAAAAAAACAGCACAAGCGGACAACAAAATTTACTAGCTAATCAAGTTATTACGTCATTGTGCACGGTGCCTCCGAAGCTCATTTCCAAAAAAGGGACCCTTTGAATTGTGTGTCTTTTGTTGACTTCATCCAGGTTACCATCATGAAGCACACAGGACATGATCTCCTGCGTCCAAGTTGTTCCTGTGGGGAGGGGAACAGTCAGTATTAAAGACAATCTGACGTATAAGAGCCAACCCCCCTCCCATCCCCTTATTGTCTCCCATGCGTCTTGCGTGGTTCTCCTCTTTTACATTATGACTTCACGTGAAACCGTCGGGCACACTGTCCGAGGGGTTTCCATGACATGTGACTGACTGGCACATACAAGCTAAAAAAATTGGGCAAGTGCAAATGCAATGATACATGTGCAATGTCTGAATAACAGTTACTCATGAAATAATTTTCCTATCCCGCTTACTGTTTTGTTTTCTTTCTTTCTTTCTTTGTGCTTTGCTTCTTGTTGAAATTTGTTTTGGTCTAAAAGTCTTTCTTTTAAATTTTGAACTCTTGTTTTTTGGAATTCCTCATAGTTTATCATACATTATGGACAGTCAGTCCTGAATCAACCTGAATCTTGCTGCTTTGTCACCGGTCTTTGTCAAAATACCTGCTTTGGCATAGGTGACGATGAACACGTCATCCTGTCGGATCTCCAGTGTCCTTAGGTCCTTCATAGTGCTTGGGAGGATATCCAGGTTGAGAGATACCCCTTCGTAATTGTACAATGCCCATGCGCCGAGATCCTTGGGCTTCAACTTGGCAATGTAGCGCTGAACTAAAAGAAAGGCATACTGATCGGATTAGACACCAAACTACGGTGGCACCGCACTCACACGCCCAATCCTTGCAGCTTGACGCGCGCGTACATTTTGACAAATCACGACACCCTATTGGTCAAGGAGGCCTGTAACGCGCGCGTACCACCTGTCCACGAGCGCTGCGCCACTGCAGTAATGGCTTCTAATTTTGGTTGTCGAATTACACAATAGGCCTTAAGTTGAAACCGAGTTAAGAAAGCAAGGCGTGCAAATGAAGCAACAGATGCCTTGGCTAGCCACATCGCTGTCAAATTACTAATTTAGGTCTAGAAGTACAACATCACGTAATGGATTGACAACATCACATCATGGCTCGACAACATCACACAATAGTTTGACAACTTTACATAATGGTTTGACAACAATACATCATGGCTCAACAACATCACATAATAGTTTGACAACTTTACATAATGGTTTGACAACATCACATAATGGTTTGACAACATAACATAATGGTCTGACAACTTCACATTATAGTTTGACAACATGACACAACGGTGACAACATCAAGTAATTGTGTGACAACATCACATCACAGATTGAGGACATGATCAAACTACGTTCACCAATTAACATCATATTTTGGTACATTTGGCGTTCCATCGAGGACATGTAATGTAGGCCTGAGGATACACGAAGGCCCTCGTACACGGAACAACAAAGTTGCAGTACAGTCCAAGCTTGGAGTAGGTGACTTACGTTGCCAGCCAAAGAAATACTCAAACAAGCGTCGGATCCACGACTCGATGTATCCAGAGATAGTCTGGCCCATGGTGACGAGTGCGTTGATTTGGCAGTATCGGTCCGGTTGTTGGTGCGATGGTGTAGTCCCTCCTGGGAAGGTGCCTCGGATAATGCGCAATGTAAATGATGAACAATGCAGAGCACACTGAGTGCACACGTACAACTAGCCGCCGGGAGAGGTTGGCACTGATTTCCGATTGAAAGAGATCGATGCTGGATCGAATTCAATGAAGGTCAAACTGCTGACAATTAAAGGTCAACCAATCTTTACCTGGTCAAGGATGGCGGCTTTGTCAAATTTAGGCTTTGTTACCAATGCAGCTTTACGCTTTCGTTTCCTTATAACAGCAGCAAGCTATGTACACGTACACGCTAGGCATGAATAGACTTTTTTTCCTGTGATGTCACAATCGTGCTGGACCTTGATGTTTAATTTTGTGATGGTAAACTACTTTATCCAAGATAAATTAGTCAAGCATGCAGCGTTCGCACGTGCGTTACGTGGTACTTGGTTGAAGCTGCCCGGCCCGTACTAGAAATATGTGCGATCACCATGGCCAAGGCGGCCTACAAATGGTGGTATTGTTTACATTTAGCGCAATCCAGTCACGTGTGTGAAAAAGGTCTATTCGAACATGACAAATTGGTGTTCCCAAAACAGGTCGCTTAAAGGTCAAAATCTATGGTTGAAAGTGGCATGATGGATCGATGGACGGATCGATAAGAAGATTACAGATAGAATCGATAGCAAATGTGATAAAAATTCGCGTCATGATAACGTGGTACGCAAAGGGAATTAAGGAACGTTGCTGACGGTATCGAGACGATGGCTTAGTGCGTATTCCAAGTTTTGACTCATCGATATCATCAAACAATACCGACACATAAACACGTTGTCGTGTGATCATTTTGATCTAATTTTTTATGATTTACAACATCGCTGATCGGATGAAACCAATTGAATAAACATTTTTAAAATACCGGTACGGCGGTTGACTTTTGATGCATGAAATGTGTAAGAGATCTGTGACATGTAAAAGATACACATTTGGATATCTGTCATTAAATATTATTCAAGCAAGCCTGGCTTCACTTCTGTTATTATTACAGGTATGAGACAACATGCAGGGATGACACTGACAGATCTGAGCATCCATTTTCCTACGGCGGCGGCACAAGGGACACCGTTGACAGATAATAATTCGGCGCTGGTCTCTCTAATTGTGAATACGTGTACTAAAATGCCCCTTAACGGACGCTTTCCTTGTCTTTATTGGTAAGTTTATAGAAGGTCACAAGTACAAATACCACTTGAGTTCTTTTTTTTCGGTTTGCAAAGAAGAAATATGCTACATTTTTCATATCTTCGAATCGCAGAAAAAGAATGTGGTCTTCGTTTCTCCTTTCCCATAAGTGGAGGTAATGCTCCCACCACTTTCCATAGCCAACTACAACAGGGTCAAGAACCAGCAAAGCGTTGGCAAAATCAAGCACTGTGTTGGAATGATCAATGAGGATTTGCTCAAATGTTTGAAATACATACAATGCAATAACAAAATGCATCTAGAACGTCAAAGGCAAGAGTAATAAAACAGATGAAAAACATTCCAAGCCATCCTCTTTAGAGAGTGCATCGTGCATGTTACATTTTGTTTGGAAGATTTTTACAGGTTTATGGATCGTTTCTGCTATCCCAGAATACACTCAATGCTGTCATCATTCCTCACTGAAGTGATATTTAAACCTATGGATAGCTTTATTTAACGTGTTTAATTGTGGCGTATGTCAGAGCGACAAAAAAATGACCCCAAAACCGTTCTTGAAAGCTTTCAAAGTCAACATTGGAACAGGAATGGATCTTATATAAAGCCATGAATGGGTCACGGCATGAAATATTCTGCTACTATTCTCATTAATACATTTTGTATATCCCATTTCAAAATGAATTATAGAGGTTTTGTTTAACTTGTTAAGGTCTGTTACTTACTGTCATCGCTGTGGAATCTTTCGAAGAAATTATCCCAGCTAATATCAAGATGAGGACTCATCAGTCGAATGTGATGGAAGTAGGACACGGCCACGTCTTTCGGGTTCCTGATGACGTAGACGATCTTGACCTTCTTCTCCCAGACCTGAGGAGGTGGGACTTGATGAGACGAGGAGAACTCCTGGGCATCCAACCGATGATCTTGTGGGGGCGAGGGTACTATTGCCAAAAAAGTCAAAAATGACAGGAGATTGGAAGAAAATGGCTTTCGCAAGAATCAAAGTCAGGATAAAAGTAACCCGCTATCACAGATAGACGGCAATAAATAAATGACACTTTTCTCTTGGGTTTGTGCTGCTTGTCGTTGGTTTGCTTGTCTCAGTATGCTTGTTTGCATGTTGGTCTGTCGGTTTGGGGGCTTGTCTATTCCTCTGTTAGTTGCAGTCTGACATTTGGTCAGTCTGTGTGTCGCACGGAATTTAGCTTTATTCTGTAACTTCATTCTGTTTGCTTGTTTTTGTTAGTTTTGATTCAAGCCAAATTTTAACTTTTCTAAAATGAATTTTTAGACCTTGTCAATTCGTTCAATAAAATTTCGATGCAACTTTACTTTTCAAGTATGTCCCTTTTGCCATTGTATATTGAATTCAACCAACATCGGTTATCAATACACATGACTTAATTTCTTTCACATTTCTGGAATGGTACTCCTTAATTAACTTAAGAATTGAATCTAAATACTTGTATGTAGGCCTAATTTCAGAGAATTTAGAAATTTCAAACAAAAAACCAAATGGGATTAAAATTGCTTGAGCTGATTTCGTAACCAAAAATCAAATAATTACGTCACTGTGCACCGTGCCTCCCATGTTCATTTCCAAGAAAGTGACCCTTTTCATTGTATGTCTTTTGTTGATCATCTCCAAGTTTCTATCATGAAGTACACAGGACATTTTCTCCTGTGTTGTGCCTGTGGGGAGGGGAAGTAAAAGTAGTTGAAATAAAGTAGTTCAATATTTTTGGTGTACGGTGTGTCCACAAAAAAGGAGACCCATTTTAAATGCGAATGATCGGAAATTTGTGCAATGTGTTAAAAATGGGTGTTTATGTACACTCTAAAAACACCAGGGTCAGACTGATCCGGAATCTGGGTCCCATGGGGCCTGACCCCTTTCCAGATCAAAATATGACCCCCTTTTGGCTCATATTTGACCCTTTCTGGGTCAAATTATGACCTGTTTTAGGTCATATTTGACCCTTTCTGGGTCAAATATGACCTAAAACAGGTCATAATTTGACCCGGAAAAGGGTCAGGCCCCAAGGGACCCAGATTCCGGGTCAGTCTAACTAAGGTGTTTTTAGAGCGAATGCAGGGAAAGCCCAGACTGTCGTCTGTCCAAATGATACCAGGGTCATTTTGTAACGGTCATGCATGACTGAGCAGACATTACCGTGAGGAAAGCTTCTGAAATCATCATTGTGTGACACAATTGTTTTCTTGTATAGCTAGTGTGAGGGCATCTTGATAGCATTCATTCCTATTAACTTCAATCCTTCAATCATGGACTTGTCTGCGTATGAATACCTGCTTTGGCATAGGTGACGATGAACACGTCATCCTGTCGGATCTCCAGTGTCTTTAGCTCATCCATCGTGCTCGGGCGGATATCCAGCCTGAGAACCACGCCCTCGTAATCGTACACTTCCCATGCTCGGAGATCCTCTTTGAAATGTAGTGATCAGCTAAAACATAGAATAAGACAAACTCAAGGCTTCAAGTTAAAAATGAAGAAAGCAAGGTTTTGGAGGCAATTAATGCAGTGTCTTCGGCTAGCCACACTGCACAAATATATAATGTACTTTGTCAACCCTTTAAAAAAATCCTTTTGAAGAAACATCTTAAGTTTTATTTTCAACATCTTTGGAGGATCCATACCACTCCTTAGAGGCAGTTACTCCTAACAACCTTAGTCCTTCCACACTGTGGCTGGTCTATGTCTGAATACCTGCTTTGGTATAGGTGACAATGAACACGTCATCCTGTCGGATCTCCAGTGTCTTCAGCTCATCCATCGTGCTCGGGAGAACATCCGGCCTGAGAGGTATGCCCTCGAAATCGTACACTTCCCATAATCTAAGATCTTCCGGCTTCAACTTGGAAATGTAGCGTTGAACTATAAGAGGGCATGAAACGGGCACCGGTCAACTCGGTCCGTAACCAACTTGGTCCAAGTCAACTCGGTCCCAAGTCAACTCGGTCCCAAGTTAACTCGGTTCCTAGCCAACTCACCTCTTCTTTTCCTCCATGCTTAAAACATGGAGCTATAAAAATCACATACAGCATGCCAGCAAATACAACACTCGATCGACAGGAAAAATATTCTAAGAGGCATTCATTTTTCAATTTACACTAAGCTTGGAAGACTCTAGTCCATGTACGCCCTGCTTGAGAAGCAGCCTTCTCGGTTGCAACTCCTAAATGGGACTGAATTGACTTGGGACCGAGTTGAACTGGGACCGAGTTGACCGTATCTAACTGATGAAACACTATACATGTACTATAAATAACCACTACTAATCTTTATTACATTGGCATTCATGACCTACATATACATACACAGCATGCAACTTTGCCATATTCATATTTCGCTATCATGAAGCAATCTGACACAATCTAACAGCAAAGGTGTGTTAATTGCTTACACCACCCCCCCACCCCCCCGCAGTGAAATAGGCCCTACAGAAAAACGCCTAGGCCTACGTGGACTGACAAGAACATCCACGCACGAGTTGAAGTTCAAGCGTTTGAGTGTGACTTACGTTTCCAGTCGAAGAAATACTCTGCCCAAGGTTGGATCCATGGCTGGATGAGTCCGGAGACAGTTTGGCCCATGGTGACTCTGCGTTAATTTGGCAAAATCACCTGATCACGTTCCGGGTCACTGGTGGGTTGCAACGGGCGCAGTCCCCTCTCAGAAGCTGCCTTAATATCATGGAGGAAGGACCTCCTCCATGATAATATCATTCATGGCGTTGTACTGTGGAGTTCTGCTTTGTGGTTGAACTATTACACGATATAGATAAACATGTCATGCATGGTGACGAAATTACAACCTTGACAGTTTGCACGGAGAAGGAAAACATGGAAAAGGTCAATCCATGGAGCCGGAGCTCGGAGGCGGCGCTAGAAAAAGGACTCTATGGAACGCCAAAGAGACGTGTAATATGATCAATGAATCGGTGATGCACAATTATTCACAACCAGTGATGGACCTTTACGATTAACGCGAAACCTTCAACTGACAATGCATATTCACGATTAGCCCCACTAGTGTGGCACCGGCGATGGAGGCTAGCGGGAGTGAGAGTCCGTTGTCACATTGGTGGGGCTAATTCACGATAAGTTTACTTTCCCATAGTTGATGCATATTCACGAATGGTGATCGTATTATTTTGTTTTCATAGTCTTTCACCACCGGTGATCAACTTTGCCATTACTCCCGTGAACTTTCATTTCTTCACAGAACGGCCGTTGAATTCCATCGATGACAGTCGCAGTCGTCTTGAACTACACCCTGCATTGTGGTGCATTTTTCCCTACTCTTAAGACGTTTTGAAAGCATAGTTTGCCCCCCAGTACAAAGGCCGTCCTCAATCATGATGTGGAACGGCCACCTAGGTCAGCTGATTTCACACCGGCGATTATCCCCCCTTTGGGAACTTTTAATAACATTATAAGTTCCCCACATGATGTTCCCGCGTCAAGGGCCCATGTTCTGAACGAACGTCTCGCGCATGCGCAACAAGCCGGCTGTACAAGCTGTCCGAGAAATGCGCCGACGTTGTAAAATTGGTATTGAAAGCGAAGGTTGTCATGTCACAGTTGTTGCTGATTGAAAACACGTGAATCGTCATCCTTTTTTTCTAAGTAAATAAGTCTAAAGAATGTTATCTTCATTACTTATACAATGCCAAATGCATTGAAAATTTCACAGCAATTAGCCCAGTTTGGAAAAGTGGGTGCTTTACAGATTGATATGTTAAAACAATGGTGATACCTCATCCGTGATGGCTGAAATGCAAGCGACGCAACATGCATAACTTAGAAATCACCCTTCTGGAAGCTCCCATCTTTAGAGTGTTTAGGCTCATAACAACCTACCAATCAATACTTGGACACGGCCTCTCACCAGTTATAATGCTTTTACCATTTGATTCAACGAACTTCAAAAACGTAGTTTGCGTTAACATTGATAGAAATAGCAATTCAAAGACATGAAACACAATAGTTTTACAAATGACATTTAATGTCCTCTTTCTATAACTGATGCACCAGAAATCATTTCTTGATTCGGTTCGCTGACAACAAACAGAATAACAGTAAAATTGCATGTGCATGTATAAATTTTCCTGTTAAATTTAAAACTTCTTCTTTGCTCCACTTACTCTGCGGTGACTACGCCTCTCATCAAGACTATTTTTTGCCTCACATACCTCAAATCGCCGCTTTCTACATTACAGAAACTTACAGAAATACGACCAATGTCACAGGCCCTTTATATAGTGTAATTCGACCACCAAAATTAGAAGCCATTACTGCGGTGGCACAACGCTCGTGGACAGGTGGTACGTGCGCGTTGCATGCCTCTTCGACCAATGGGATGTCGTGATTTCCCAAATGCACGCGCGCGTCAAGCTGAAGAATGTGCGTGAGTGCGGTGCCACCGCAGTTATGGCGTCTAATCGGATCAGTCTATAAATTGGTGGCTAAAAATTATTTAACCGACTATTAAGTTCCTCTGAAAAGGAGCCCCGTGTATTTAAGAACATAAGGTATTGCTCGGTCGAAAAACATATATTTGACCGTACGGTCTATAAAAATAAGTGGCATCATCATTAGTTCTATATCAACAGCTGCATGAAAATATAAATCTCAAGGCAAATTGGATCCTTAGAGATAGATGATTCAGCTTCAGACGGTTCGTAGGTCTATTTAAAGTCCTTGAATATTTAAAAGTGCACCTTTCAATATGACACACTTAAAATACTTGCTGTACATTTACAGTGTTTTAGTAAGTCCATTGGCACCACGAGGGCTACTTGCGTGGTCAGTAAATCTACTTCACTTTTTGTTGTACCCCAACAAACATTTTCGTTGTAACATATATCCACTAAAAAACAATTTCCACGCATTTTCTGGAGACAATTAACATTAAATCGAGTGAAAGCGGAGCCGAGAAGCGGCAAAAGTAAGAGAGCAACTCAACAGGTGAGTCGCTACGCGAACAGGCCGACATAAAAGTGACAGAAGGGAGAAAAAATTAAGCGTACAGCACCAAAAAAATCGACTTCACAGAACATCGACAACCACTACTTAAACAAATCTCTGTATTTGTCTGCCATTATGTGGCGTTCTCAAGGAGTTTAAAGCATTCGACCTCAACGCCGTGAAATAAATGTGGTTAATTGGGTTACTCGATGGTAAACTTGTAAATGAAGAGCAGAAATGGAAAACACCAGCTATCCTTTCCTTTTGAATAACCCACAATTAGTCTGTGCGGGAAGTTTGAATCTGCGGTTTGGATCCTGATTTGAGTCTCATGTTTCCCTTCATGAATAACACACTGCGCTTGTATAGGCCTATCACCTGAACCTTTCAGTCAATGCAAGGGCACTTTATCTTGTGATATTGGTCTCAGACACACGTCACTGATAGTGTAAACGTGATTCAGAATTCATTGTAGAAGTGAGAGTCAATTACTGCGTTGTGAGAAATAAATTGAAAGACTTCAAACCTTAATTCGATATGTCCTCATGCAGGGTGACTATTTTCAAGCTTCAGTAGCTCACCTTTCTTTGTATCTCCCAATTGTCCTCCCAATGGATCATTTGTGTTGATGAAAAGGACTTTTTTGGCAAAAATATTCACCACAGTATCAGAGCTTACTACCTAAACATTACACTTTAACTGACGCAACTGGGGTGATGCTAACTTTGCACAATTTGGCTTTGTGAATATACCACTTCTGGAGATGTACAGTTAGATTAAAAGATAGTACAAATCATTGTGAATAAACCCTAAACTCCATATAAAAAAGACAATTTCTGTACTCTAAAAAGCAGCATAAAGGCTAACTCAAAGAGTTGGCATGTTTTCACGCGTAAAACTTGAACAAATAATCGGAAATCACTCTTGATTGAGTACTCTTGAAGGTGTTACTAAAAGTATTCGTTTCAAAAGAATGCAGTGGAACCGCATCAGTCGAAAGTGAGACCTACCACTGTCAACTTCTCTTTGCACAAGGCGTCGATAGCTTCCGCCTGGGATTCAGACAATTGCGTCTTGGAGTCCCCAACGACACCTACAGGGGCAAAACCATCAAACAAGACCTGTGCAATTATTTATTTCTTGATGCCTATATTGATTTGCCTCCAATCTTCCCGAACCCCTTATATCTACAAGTGCCTTGAAGCGTTACAGTTGTAAAGAGGTGCCATGATTTGCTTATTTACGATCAAATATATTTTGACTTGCGCATGAGACACTTGCAATCCTTGACGTGTGGGCAGTTTGTCTCTTGGAATGAAGCTCTAACGAGTAATGAGGCTCTATCTCCAACTACTCTCGAATTGGAGTCTACAAAGTGATAATCTGTTACTTCAAAACTTCATCTCCTTAGGGAAAGCCCTTGGTTGAGTGGTTTATTTGTTCTTCTTTATGGAATGCACTCAAAGGACGCTGCCAGAACAACGTAACAGCGAACAATATTGTTCTATGGCTCTAGGTCCAATTAGCTACCTTTTCGCATGAAGGAAACACCCTCTCGTTTTCCTACGATTTGTTGAATGAGGACATCTGGGTTGGTCATGGGGTTCTTCTTCATGTTGGCGAAGGTGCAGTGGTCGGTGATGGCATCGATTATGTCATCCGAGAAAGATTTGCCAAGGAACTCGCTAATCTGTTTCACAGTACCCCTCAGATCCTGAAGGAGCCGAAAGGAAATGGAATTCTTTTCTTATACTAAATTTGTAATGGTTACATCTTCGATACAATGCAATCAAATAGAACAATGCGATTTTTTGGCCACAGAGAGAATAAAGATCAAAACGGGTTTCACTTACGTGATATTTACTGTCAACAGAAAAATTGGTCAGTCCAACAACATTAATAAGGAACAACAGAAATGACACTGCTGGACATCAACATTTGATTTGTTCCCGTGGCTTTCAAAGGACACCGTAAATCAAATTTCAAGACTCGTCACTTTGATTGTGAATACATACACTAGCATCAATATTCAGTTTGCGATGTACCTTTTTCAGGACAGGGTTGTCAGTCTGCATTTGGGAAGTCACAGGTGCAAATCCAACTAAAGTTCCATTTCCTGTCTACAAGGAGGAAATCATCTACCTTTTTCATGTCTTCAAATCGCAGAAGAAGAATGTGGTCTTCGTTTCTCCTTTCCCAGAAGTAGAGGTAATGCTCCCACCACTTGCCATAGCCAACTACAACAGGGTCAAGAACCAGCAAAGCGTTGCTTAGATCAAGCAATTGTGTGTTGGAATGATCAAACACGATCTCCTCAAATGTTTCAGATATACAATGCAATAGTAAAATGCTTTTAAAACGTTAAAGGCTAGTAGGCCTAAAGATAAATCTTCAAACCCATCCTCTGCACTGTGTATGTTACCTCTTGTGCATCAGTTACATAAGATTTTGTCTTTAATTTCTACAGGCTTACGGATCATTTTCTGTATTTCTGATTACAAAATGCTGTCATCGTTGCACACTGGATTACAAAATGCTGTCATCGTTGCACACTGAAGCAATTTTTGAAAGCTTATATTGAAGTTTTACTTATATTGAAGTTTTACTTACTTTATTTTCAACTTTTGTTTCACTATTTCAAAGGGTATTTTACCGCCTTTTTGGTTTTATGCCGAGTATATCCATACACATGAGCAACAGTGTGAAGCAATCATATTGCATTGGTTTGTACACAAAACGTCCTGCATTTTTGTAGATTTTCCTGGACTCAGTTTTCTCCTTTGCTGATTTATTGTTGTTTATGTGCATAGCAATAAGAAACCATCAGTCCCTCTCTCATTTTTTCAGTTAGTAAATTCTGGGTTCACAATTTGAAGAGAAACACTTATGTACCGAACCACGTCTTCCCTAGATGACTTCACAGCCAACAGCGCCCTCAGTTGTCCGGGAAAGCATAGGTAATTTCAAATGTTTAAAAGCATGCACTTTTCCCATGCATTTAACAAAATTGGAAAGTAAAAGAGTTCTCATACATTGAAGAGTTAACAAAGTTAAAGAGAAATTGTGTCAAAAAGAAAAATTTATTGCAGCTACACTTTAAGATGTTGAAGTGGGGCATTGGCCTACATCGGAGCAGCACCTGAGTCTTCAGAGTCATCACTGGAACAGAAATGAATCTTAATGAGTATGTTTTATGCAATGACCAATTTAAATTGCTCATTACACAAAATATTCTGCACGTCTAATGACACACTCTGTACATCCATTTTAAAACTTGGACATACAGCTTGCTTTGCACTGTTAATCCGCTGGTCTGTTACTTACTGTCACCGCTGTGGAATTTTTCGAAGAAATAATCCCAGCTGATATCCAGATGAGGACACAACAGTCGAGTGTGATGGAAGTAGGACACAGCCACGTCTTTTGGGTTCCTGATGACGTAGACGATCTTGACCTTCTTCTCCCAGACCTGGGGAGGGAGGAGTTGACCCGGGAGGTGGGACTTGATGAGGCGAGGAGAACTCCTGGGCATCCAACCGATCATCCGGTGAGTTCGAGGGCACTAGCAAGGAAACCGAAAAGCCAAACAGGAGATTGGAAGAAAAAGGACTTCTAAGGTCAAAGTGAGGAAAACAATTGCCCGAAATACAAGAAGGATATTCACCTGTCTCGGAATGTCTGTCTGTATGTCTTTTTTTGTTTGTCTTTTTCCCTCTGTCAGTTGCAGTCTGTCATTCAGTCAGTCCGTCTGTCTGTTTATAGGAATTTGTTTTCTCCTGTAATTGTATGTTTGTATTTTAGTTGTTAATTTATTAGAGCCTCATTATTTGCCATGCTTATATTTTCATAATCCATTCAGACTTTTTAGTTGGACAGGAAAAAAAATTTAGCAATATTTTAAAAAGTACTATAAGTCCCTTTTTAGCAGCGCTTACTTCCTGTTCTGAAAGAGTACCCCTTAATGAAATCAAATATGCAGGCCTAATATAGGAGCAATTAGACATTCATAATTAAAAGCAAATGTACAAAAGTGGCATAAGCTGAGTACCTTACATGTAACTTCGAAATCTAAATGAAAATCTAACAACAAATTCTAATTGAAAATCGAGTTCTTACATCACTGTGCACTGTGCCTCCCGTATTCATTTCCAAGAAAGGGACCCTTTTCATCGTGTGTCTTTTGTTAACTTCATCCAGGTTGCCATCATGAAGCACACAGGACATGATCTCCTGCGTCCAGGTCGTGCCTGGGGGGAGGAGAATAACCACGCAGACAATCTGATGTATCATGTCCCATCCATCTTTAGTCTCTAATGCTTCTTGTGTGGTTAACGCTTCTTACACTATGACTTCTTTTGAAAGCCTTGGGCACACTGTGCTGGTTACTTTCATGGAAGCTGACTAACTTTGTAGGATGATCACGACGAAAGACTGGGAAATTGCAAATACTTAAAAACAGAGCATCGAATAAAAGATACTCCGGCAACAACATTGTCAGGTTGTCAGGTTTTGTCTTTTTTCTCATTTTTTGCTTATTTTGTTTTGTTGCTGATCAAAAAGTAACCCCTTAAGAGCCATTACTAAATCTTTTCCTTCCTCCACTATATTTCTTGTGGGCAATCCAGTGGGAGCTGGTATTATATTGCGTTCTTTATGTCTTGTTTCTAATGTTTGAATGTACCTTTTGTTGATAGAAAGTTTTAAGTGTATCCCGAAAAAATGAAATGAAATAGCTAAATGTTCAATTTAAACATCTATCATACATTATGGACAATCATTCCTGAATCAACCTACACTGTGGCAGGTCTTTGTCTAACACATACCTGCTTTGGTATAGGTGACGATGAACACGTCATCCTGTCGGATCTCCAGTGTCTTCAGCTCCTCCATAGTGCTCGGGAGATTATCCTGCTTGAGAGCCACGCCCTCGTAATCGTACACTTCCCATTCTCTGAGATCCTCCGGCTTCAACTTGGTCATGTAGCGTTGAACTGAAAAAGCCAAAAAAAAAAAAAAACAGACGACATCAAATGCTGTACAGGCCTCAAGCTGATAACGAAGAGACATAACAAAGCAATACACACACCTGTGCCACGCCACACCACTTATTACACTGACATTTGACCTATAAACAATGTACATATCGGGCCTCAGTACACAGCATCTTTTTTCACCTCTGCATGATCCAACTTAGCAAAGCAGCCATGTTTATGTTCCACTGTCACAAAGAAACTGACACATTGACACATTTCCCCCAGTGAGACAGAACTAGAGAGAAGCCTATGTACATTGGCAGGAACAATGACAGTTGACACACAAGTCACAGTCCAGGCTTTTGAGCATTACCTACCTTTCCAGTCCAAGAAATACTCTGCCCAAGGTTGAATCCATGGCTGGATGTATCCGGAGACAGTCTGACCCATCGTGACAAGTCCGTTAATTTAGCGGAATCACTTGATCACGTTCCGAACGCCCTCTAGTTCCAAGGTACAGAGTATAATCCAACTCTACGGTGCAGTCCCCTCCAATTTTATAAGCAGCCCCATTTCTTCATTATCATCGGGCTTTGCTTTCTGGTTGTACAACTTATGGAGATATGTAAACACACACGGCAACTTGCAAGTACAGTACATGTACTGTACATGCACGTTTATAAATCACAGCACAGCGGTAACACGCATTATTACGGAGCTGGCAGAAGTGGAGTTAAACTGTATGGAACGCCAAAGAAACATTAAATATAGTCGCCGAATCGGGGATGCACTTTAGGTTTAGCTATCGGTGGATGCATAATTATTTGCGATCGGTGATGGACTTTCAAGATAGGTAGGTGATCGATCAGCCTTCAGCTTGTGATGCATTTTCACAAAAGATGATCATAGTCTTGGTTTTTAATCGCCTTTCACTACCGGTAATTAACAATGCAATCGGTGAGGGAGTTTCACTACTGGTGATCAACTTTACGATCGGTGCGTGATGTTCTCTTTCGTAGCGTCGCGTCAATCGATAATGAAATGTCGAGCAACCATGATGTGAATAACAAGATTTTACTCAGCTTAAAAATTCAAAAAGAACTTTCGGACGTGAAGCTTGTTTTTGAACAAAATTAAAAAAACAAGAGAGAATGCAACAACTTACGTAAATGATGTGAATCGAGTTCTCAATCCATTATCTTTAGTTGTCAAACCATTATCTATTCCATTATGTGAAGTCTACATCTGTTATGTAAAAACCTCGGTCAATTATGTAATATTGTATTTGGTGATGTTGTCGATCAATTACGATTTGTCAAATCATCGTGGGAACTTGTCTTCCTATGTGAAGTTGTCGAACTATTATGTAATGCTCTCAATTGGGCCTACTAATGTGATGTTTTCAAACCACTTGGGCGATGCTTTAAATCCATTACGTGAAACTGTCGCTCAATTAAGTGAATTTTCACTCCGTTATGTCACCACATTGTCAGACAATTCAGTGACGTTCATAATCAATTTTGTAATGTTGTCAAACCATAGTGTGGCCAATACATTTTGAAGTGAGCTATCCCTTTAATTACATGGCGCGTATTAAGTTGGCATGGATCACAGATAATACGGGCGATTCACAATAGTGCGCCTCCAAGAGTTTGCAACGCGTTGACCAATCACCACGCGCGAAATCAGTCGACCCTTTCCAAATGCGCATTGGGTAGACAGATTTCGCGCATCATGATTCGCCAATGCGTTGCAAACTCATCATCTACTTTCCTATGGGCAAACAGTTTTATTGCCAGTCTTGAGAGGAGAATAATGACGCCTTGTGAACGTTTCCATATTAAACTGTCAGACTTTATTTCCCTTAAAAACCTTCAAAGCATATATAGAAAGAGTAGCGCCATCAGCTTTAAATTTTGGAAACAATATGTCTGTTGTGTACCGTGTGAACTAGCGCATACACCTGCAGCCATGGAACGCCAAACATTTCAATATTCAATGTTTCATCAACCACTTTTTAACTGATCCTTATGCCAGGTGAACTTTAATACTATGAGCAGTGAAAGGACTCCTACCCATAGAGTGAACTGCCACCTGCTGTGTTGGAAGCAACTCAAGTAGATAAAGAAACCTATCACGTTGCCTTGTTGGCCGAGTCTATGATAGAGTAACGATAAAGTTACTCAAGAAGGGTCTGGCAAGTCACGTGCGTCCTGAGAATGGCTCCTGCCGCTTTGGAAAATGCCAAGTGGTAGAAATCAACCAACGGCATATATACCTGGCTATGGAAGCGGCTACATCGAAATTCTCGGTAGAGCCGCGTTCAAGCCGTAACCAAGAATAAGTCTGTTCTCCCATCTCACAATTCAGTGTTTATCATCTGACTCACGTATTTCTAGCATGAACCCCGACGTCTACTAGTGTAGATCAAACATAAATGTGAAACATGAAACTCATAAAGATCTCAATTATGATATGTCAAACATCGCAAGCACAAGTGTGATATTGCCGTCTGATACGTTAGACATTGCCTGTATACACGATTAGACATTGAACTAAAATATGCTGAACATTGCTTATTTTATATTAGGCAATTGACGTATAAATTGGAACACAGAAAATATACAACATATTGAATAAAAAATGTGAACAGCGCACATATATTGATAAAACATTGAACATTAAAACATTTGGCGTGCCATATCCAGTTTATTACAAATAATGGTGATACTTCTATTGCAACTCTATCCGCCTTGAGCATAAGTATCTGTTGAAAAGAGCAACAATTGTTGGAAAGTGTTAATTTTGTTGGTAGCCACGGGATCATAACGTATTCGTGCATTTCCCAGTCGTTGTGAACCAGTGAAGTGCAGTGCCCACCAAAGCAGCCTCTGTTGCTAAGGAAATTGCGCCCTCTCAGGCCCAGTGTTTTTCCTCAACCCCAGGTGACCTCGGCACATGCTGCCATGAAACGCATTGACCACCTCCTGACGGTACTCCATTAAAAACAAACGCTTGTGCATTAATCCCACATAGATCAAAGTGTCTCATGGGCCTATAGGAATTGAGAAACTACATTACCCCAGATTGGTCTTTGGCTTCCGCTTTCCTTCATGTCAATCAGCCGTCTGAAACTCGGATCTACTATCTGGGTATTCTTTACATCCTCTTCGGATACTTGAGGATTCGCAAGAATGCCCCAGAACCCGCTCCTCAAGTCTACCTTCTGAACCACTGTCGACAGCCATCATTAGAAGCTTTGCTGGCTTGTGATGTCACGTCTGCTTCCTGACTACAGTGTAATTCGACCACCAGAATTAGAAGCCATTACTGCGTTGGCACAACGCTCGTGGACAGGTGGTACGCGCGCGTCACATGTCTCTTCGACCAATAGGATGTCGTGATTTGTCAAATGTACGCGCGCGTCAAGCTGGTGAATGTGCGTGTGAATGTGGTCTCACCGCAGTTATGGCGTCTAATCGGATTAGTCTATAGGCCTAGATACCATAATATTACTGGTGTTCACTATAGTGGTGTAGCTTACTCAGGTATTTATTTGACCAAATGTGTTCAGTACACTACTGGCAAATCACTCAGCCCAAAAAATTAATATTGGTGTACCGATCACAGATAGCCCCTATACAAATAAGTGACATTGGTCAACATTAACAGGCAGCTACATGCTAAAAGCACATAGTACAGATCTCAGTAAACTGGATGTGATAAGTGGCATGTATATCTGCATCTCATGCGATAAATGTTAGGCTCTATATGTTTATATAAAATATCCTCACATATTCACGCCTCCATTGCACATTTGTGTCACTAACTTAGGATTCTGTCAATAACAACAAAGACGTATGTTTACGGTGTCTCGCACGTCAAGTCTTCAAATGCTATTTGTCGAAGTTAAAAAACCGATTTTTTTTTCTTTCTGCAATTTCACCGTTCATTTAGACAGAATCACATGTTTCTTTATACATCATATACATGACATCAGAGGCTATAGCACTCATCCGACAGTATGTTTGGATTTCAACTGATCAAATTTGGCGCAAATTTCTTTGAAGTTGCGCGTCTGTGGCTCGCACTTTCCCTCGGCCTTGTATTTCCCGTTGATGAACACCATCATCTGTGTTAGATTCAGCCCGTCCCCCATGGCAAGAATCGCTGCTTCCACAAGGATCTCAAGCATTTCAACTTCACCCACATTCTGAAAGAAACAAGCTCAGTATGAACTACAACCAAGTAAGTTACCATACATGGGACAAAGTCACAAAGTAAGAAAATAAGCGAGTAAAACCCATGCCTCGAAAACATAAATTCAAGCGAAATAATTTTTTTTATGTTTTAGGTTAAAAAGCTCAGACTAGTCAGAGGGGATCACCCCCTGCTCCCACGAGCAAGCAACTAAAACATGTAAGAAAAGTGACGATAGCAATTGTTTGGCCAGGATGGACGGAGGGGGGGGTACACCCCCCAGCGAAGGTCTGTTCCCCCCCTTAATTGGAAATTAAGAAAATTACACACACAACAATCTCGGAAATGGCATTCCGACAGAAAAACATTTATGAATGAGAATAAATAGCGGATGTTGATCATGTCCTTTGTCTTCGGTCGGGGGTATTGTTGGTGTCAATTCTCCTCATCCGGTCTTGAACCTTTAAGATTAGAAAGAAGATGGGTGTCCTACCTGTCGTCCTGTGTTGAGCAGAGAAGTTGCGATCTTACACTCTTGCTCCATGGAGATATCCTTCAGACACTTGAAAACAGTGCTTGCTAGATCAGCGGTATTTGGTTTATGGTCCCTTTGGAGAAACATTTTCAGAAAAGGGTTTGTATACTTTGTACGGCACATGAAAAAACTTGAAGCAAATTATTGATTAGGAAAAGTAATGATCTCATTTTTAGTTCGATACGCTTAATCCTAAAAGAACTGGGAGCGAACTCCCCCCCCCTCCATTTGTATAATATCGCCACAGTGCGTTTTTTTCTTGAGCCGTGCCTATAAATGAGAGTTTGTTTTCAACTCTTCTGTACAAATCGAGTATACCACTCTGGCGGAGCGCCAATTTTTGGATAGACAGGTCACTGAGCCTAAAATGTGCCGTACGCATTTCCACTGATGTGCTCAATAGCAAAGTGTGACGTCAGGTAAACCAGGAAGTGCCGTACACCGAACGGAGTGCGTGCGCCTGTTGGTTCATGCGCTGGTTTTGGTGCTAATGGCTTTCCCATACACTGTGTATCCACTTCAGTACTCTAGAGAGGGGCTGGTCTGCGTTTGAAGGAGTGTCTTTACATTCATCCCAGATTGTAAAAAATCTGATGTGGGACAACCCGCTATGGGAAGGTCCAAAATAACTGCACCTGAGGCTTGGCTGAGGGTTTTTCCTTCAAAACGTATGTCGAAGTACATTATTCATCCAATTTTTCAATCTTCTCCTTCCCCTAAGCATGCAGTTCGCAAGTTCATATTAAATTAGCATTATATATTTTCTCTTTTCTTTGTTCACCCTGATTCGTAGCACAAGACTCTGTCAAAGGGGAGGTAAATCTGGCCGAGATTCTTGGACCACCAGCACTTGCATGTGTCTCTCCTGTCTACTTCTTTGTCCTTCGCCAGGTCTGCTAAGTTCACTCCGAGGTTCGTCTGCAGAGAGTGTACGACGGTGCCCTTGGGTGTGTCATAGCGTCCTTGATGATACAGGAACAGCAGAATCATTACTTTCCTATCCATATTTAAGATTTATGCTGCTCAAAAACGTCATTCGGCAGAAACACTAAGCGCAGACGGCAGGACTCTTTCCAAGGGGTTTTAAGAATGCAAGTTTCCCCAACTAAAGTGTAATTCGACCACCAGAATTAGAATCCATTATTGCGGTGGCACAACCCTCGTGGACAGGTGGTACGCGCGCGTTGCATGCCTCTTCGACCAATAGGATGTCGTGATTTGCCAAATGTACGCGCGCGTCAAGCTGAGGAATGTGCGTGTGAATGTAGTGTCACCGCAGTTATGGCGTCTAATCGGATTAGTCTTTAGATACCTTAATCTTACCTGTGTTCACTACAGTGGTGTAGCTTACTCAGATATATTTGGCCAAATGTTTTCAGTACAGTGTTGATAAGATTCACAAGTTATGTATGAAATTAAAGTTCGCCATTGTTCGATGGACCCCTGTAAGCTAAGTGATTAAGTCGGAACGACCATGTGTTCCTGCCTGCTATCACTTTAGAAGCATCGCAAGTTGATATCTTCGTGCAACTTGACATCAATGCTTAAAAAGGCCTGTACAAGTCTTACATTTATATTCTTATTATATTGTTGTACATCTGCCAGAACAGCCCTTTATATCTATAGACTTACCCGGTAGGCAGGACAACATCAAAATGTCCACCTTGTTACGCGTGCCCATTTTACTCATATCGCCCACACACAACTCGATAGACTTCTCGTTTCCGTCTATGAAAAGGACCATGGTGTCCTTGACAATAAACTCCTCCAACTTGCTGATTTCTGACAGGTCGCGGGTCCTCGAACGTGAAGTCCATGCTCCCATGATGAATCCTTAACTTTTCTGATGGTTTCTTCTAAACAAGTAGCACAATGTGTTAATAATCACAGGTGGTGTTATGACGCATAGGCGTACACTAATTCTCTCTGCATAAAATGAACTTTAAACCTGGGTTTTCCCCGCCATGTGAGGAGTGTAAATCGTTAAATAAGTTCAGAGGACAAACTAAAGGGGGATTTCGGGTACCGGGCAGGACTTTTATCACCAGACCAATTGGTTTATGGCACCTCAACAACTGGCTTTTTAAAGAATATAATACTCAAAACTCTCAACCTCATTCCTTGACGTGATGACGCTGTTCAGAAATGCTTCATGAAGAGGCCTTCCCCCCGTCATGGATTACTTGTACACAAATCATCAACAGATCCATCGTCACGCTTTGAATACGTGGAAGTTTACCTTCATCCCACCAATCTTTCATGATGAGGGCGCTCATTTATGTTTGGGGTAATAGGATTGTGAAATTTATTAACGTTGCGTGAGCTAACTCCTTTTGTTTGAAAAAAAAAAACAACTTTTTACAAAAAAGACTTTCCATATTGAATCGGTTATTATTGCTTACAAGTCATTTCAACTATTCATGCCATTATAAATAATGTTTCTGATGTTTGAAACCCTTCAAAATATTTCATTTTTATCAATCACACGAACACGAATCTGGTACCGAAACTCTGTCAAATAAAAACTAATAAAAAGAAAGACGCAACAGCAATATGAAAGCGACCTGCACATTTGTTTTTCTTTTACATGCATAAGTTTATGTAAAGCAACTTGATGCAAATTAACAATGGCAAAAATATATAGGCCGAATGTACAAATCTGCGATCTTATATCAGCAATATGGCCGACTCCAGAATAATTTCCATTTTATTGGTTAGTTATCGAGTCAATATATCAGGTAACAAGTTTTTCTTATTAGCACAGTACTTATCAAAAGGTTTCCGGATGTACAGAGAAAAATCATTTTATTCGAATTAAAAAAGGCTATTAAATCAATCAATCGATTATTATTTTGTGGGTGTCAACTACTGACGTAAAACCTACATACTCAGGCATATGATCAAAGCAAGGAAGAACCAAAGGAGAGTATTCACATCATTATTATCGGCAATAGTTGGTCGATCTTCAAGTCTTTCGCAGTAACGCTGGAATAAGGCAGGTCTATATTATACAGGGTGACACGCCCCCGAAAAAACCCTAAATGAATTTTAAAAAAAACTACAACCCCAAAGTAACAAATTAACATTCATTTCCCCGCCAAACTAATTGTCAAAAATTACTGCTTTGGGTGTCAAAATAAAGATAAGGATGCTTTCCCTCCAAACCTGAAACTTCATTTAAATCTGATGGTGGGTTGCGGAGATATTTTAATATTTAACACAACTCAATCTGTGACAAGGTGATCGCAACGCGTCATCAAAAATTAAATGGAGAAAAAAGTGTTAATTTTGGGTTGCATTTTTTTCGGGGGGGGGTTCTCTGAATTTAATGGCTAATCCACCATTAAGCAAATAATTGACGGAAATCTCTAAGGCAAAATACCACGGCTAAGCTATAAAGACATAGACAGTCCATAGCAAGAGAACAGACAACTGTATATTTTATAAGATTTTACTTCATGTAGGCCTACAGGGGCGTAAATCCAACAAGGGATTATCCAAAGACCAACTGCTCTGCCCTGAACATTCCAAAACCTGCAAGAAGGGTGTCCTATTACATTTGAGAGCAATATCCATTCTGATAAACGTACACATCATAGGACCATCATGTATATATTCCTTCGCCTACCTACAGTCTTCTATACCCTTAAACGAAAAGGTTTGGCTTGACGGTTTTTGGCTCGTTTGTTCTCCGTTTTCACAGATGCACCCGGACGAACAGGGCGTAGCTAGGATTTTACTGGTGGCGGGGGGCACAAAGGGGCACCAGTATCTTGTGGGAGGCACCAGCTTTCAGTGGTGTTTTTTTTGGTGGGGGTGCAAGCTTTTATTAGCTTAGTCCAATATCCATTCCTCCGGTTTTTTTCAGGGGGGGGCACCTTGGGGGCACCGGGAACTTGGGGGGGGGGACGTGCCCCTTAGGTCCACCGTGGCTACACCACCCGCAGTTAATGGTTCTCATCAAAAAGGGGAGTACCAGTCATTGCCCAGTGGGGGATATCCCCTAATTCTCCCCTGGTATTTACGCCCATTATTACTCCAACTGGACATGTCATCAACGCGAGTGACATCGACAAAGCGCGCCTCTAACTTTACGCCGTGTGCCTCGCTCTCAATTCCTCAAACTTGGCGCAGATCCCTTCGAAGTTGCGCACTTTCGGTGTGTAGTCCGCTTCACTCTTGTACTCAGCGTTGATGAAAAGCATGAGCTGGCGTAGATTCAGTCCGTCCTGCATGGCAATAATAGCTGCTTCCACGATGGCCTCTAGCATCAAAACCTCGTCCATTTTCTGACAAGTTAACAAACCAGTCAACAAACTGAAACGATGGTATACTTTTACAAATAGGTGGAAAAAGTCACGTCATGCATGATGTGTGACATCTTTGACGTACAATAATGAGCAGACTCATGGTAGGTCTACAGTAATAGCTCTTACCTGTTGTCCCGTGTTAAGAAGAGAAACCACAAGTCTGAAGTCTTGCTTCTTGTAAATATCCTTCAGACAGCTGAATGTAGTGTTGGTGAACTCGGTGGCAGCGGCCTGACTCTGCCTGTACAAAAAAAACCCCAATAATAACCAACGTCAACATTTGTTAAGTATGTCTCCGTACTTCATCAGGGGATTATGTCTCACCGCGAGAAAGCACTGAAATTCCTCCATTCGCTTCATCTGACATTCAACGCTGCATTTCGGAAACCTTAAATAACATTGGGGATCAGTCTTTCATCTTCGTCCGATTTTTAAGCGATAACAGAAATTTTACTGTACCTCAGCATAATTCCAACCACACTAAGCTGCGTTGGAGGAAACTTCTTTAACTCCGTGCACAAGACAAATAAAAGTACATGGAAAATACAGGGCCCATTGGTATCCTATACTTACCCTGATTCGTAACACATGATTCTATCGAAGGGCACATCTGTCCGGCCAAGTGGCTTGGACCACCAACACTTGTGCGTGGCTCTCTTGTCCGCCTCCTTGTTCTGGGCCAGGTCTGCCACGCTCACATTTAGGTTCTTCCGCAAAGAGTGCATCACGGTGCCCACGGGGGTGTCATAGCCATCTAAGGGGGAAATGGGGCAAACCAAATGGATTTTTGTCTGGAACTTGAATTAGTACGTCTATTTATACAAATACTTCCTCTACATGTGGGGGAAAAGGGACTGTCTACATATCTTTTACACGGCTATTATTTTGAGTTCCTGACAGATTGCCGATCCGCCGAATAAAGGGTGTACTTACAACAATTATTTTTGTAACAAATGTGTGGCGGCAAACACATGCAATTACTAAATTTTGTAACTGTGGGTTAAAAAACCACCCTAAATTAAGGAATGCGAGAAGCTCCAGAATGCAGTTTGTATTTTTTTCCTAAAAAGAACTTGTTTCATGCTTTCATTTCTTTATCATCACTGGCACTGTATATGATGTCTTTAACCAACGAGGTATATATTTTTCTCATTGACATCTGGCCTCTATTTTCAGGTCAAAACACGAAAATGTTGCCACGGTAAAAACAGTTCAGGGTAAAAACAGTTAGTCATAGAGTTTGTGGGAGCAATGGTAGCTGGTAGTGGACCCTTCACTGAAAAAAAATACATGGGTTAAAATTTGACTCAGGGGGTGAAAACTGCAGCTACCCAATTGGGAATTAAAGCCAATTATGTAAGTTAAACATAATTTCTGGTTCATTAATTCACTGGTTAAAACGAACCCATTCTCTGGGTTAATGAACCAGAAATTAAGGTTAGTTAGTTTCTACCTTCCTTGCTAATCCCATTAGGTGCATGGGCACCGCATTTGCGCACATTCTTCAGCAAATTACAATACGGGTCATTCTCTGAATTCGGGGTCCAAAAATTGTTTCACCTGACCTGTGTACTTTGACATGGCAATATCTCGAACATTAATTTCAAACCATTCTATTTGCTTGGCAGGTAATGTGCATTGATTCATCACTCGTGGAAATTAGAAAAGTGTTCTGAACTTACAAAATCACGTCAGATGTGACAGGGATACCAAAAAAAATTAGACCCCTAATTTTTAGAATTGGTCGAGAAGGCATGTCACGAACACGTACGCAGGCCTACCACCTGTCAACGATCGTTGTGCCACCGCATTCATGGCGTCTGATCCTAGTGGTCAAATTACACTTTACTGATAAGGCAAACTGTTCCTCTTTTTCCACAATTTTATTATAGACCTACCGGGCAGTGCGGATATCAGCAAAATGTCCACTTTGTTGCGCATACCCAGTTCACTTAAGTCGCCCATACACAACTCGATGGAGTTAATCTTCTCGTTGTAGAACAAGGGCAAGGTGTCCCTCACGATGAATCTTTGCTCCTCCATCTCGCTGATGGCTCGTCGGTTGTTCTCTGGGTCTACAAAACGACTTGTTTTGTGTACTTCAAGTCCTTTAACCCGCAGAAACACTGTGCTAGGATTGTAATTACAGGGACATGTATGTATCCGCCTCGCCCTATCCTACGCAACACGATGAACTTTCAACTTGGTTTTTCCCCATGGTGCCAAATATAGACGGGGAAATCCAAGCGTGAGTCAAGGCTTTGATGAGTAAATTTTGAGTAGAGATTTTCGGCTTTACAACATAAATGCGTACATATATCCAAATGTGAAAAGGCAGGCTTGCTGAGGGATACTTTTCGGTCCAGCCGGCTGAACTGGCGAGTCAACTGCTGAAAATGAAGAGACCAACGATGATGTTTAAGGTGCTTAAAACGTGCTCAATTATTCAAGGCCAGTAACACCCCCTTTGAATTTGCAAATACACGGGGATCCGGATATGTATTACAGTCAGCTTGGCCAATCCGCTCCCAGCGGAAACAAAAGGAGGGCGTGGTTTTAAATGAAATTGACGGTCCTTGGTCGATCACCGCATAGGCGCGCAAGTTTATGCGCATCTAGCACGCGTGGCACGCTGAGTCCGCGCAACGAATTCGTGCTGGAATGTACGTACATGTACGGTATGGTTTTCGCCCGCACGCCGAATGGGGGATTGTATACTTGGGGACCCCCCGGTTTTTTGACATTTTAATCTTACTAAACTGTAAAAGTCCCCCCAAAACAAAAGCAACAATTTCCTTACTTCTCTGACCCTATTTTGGGAAATTTCAACTTGCAAATTGTGAGAAAATGCGACTTTCTTTACTGATAAACTAGTCATGCACATTTGAATCCACCATGTGTTATGTGTTACAACCAACACTGTTTCCCCTCAAAATTTCCCTCAAAACTCAAAGCCCTGCCTTTTTTTGACAATATCAACCCTACAGTTATTGAGCATGATGTCAGTCATAGCAAGGTGAATTCAAAAGTTAGCTCTCCGTTCTATTGAAGGAACAGGGTTCCCAAATTTACAATCCCCGCCGAATACAAGTAAAAACTCAGTTGCTTCTTCGTATCTTTCTTTCGCCGTTGAGGGTGCACTTCAACTAGGGTCACGGATATCGGAAAAAGGTGATGCCTTGAACTGTCGATCATTTATCTCAAAACCTACAGAAATGTGCCTGTGAACAAACCTGATGGGGCTTCAGCATACTATATAATCCTCCGAGAAAACCAAAATAATCTAGGTATTTCGATTTCAAAAGGTTACTGGGTCTTGTTTTGAATTACACCCGAAATAAATCGTCTGAGGCATGATCTAATATTCAATCGAATGTTACGCGATGCGACGCACTGAACCGTCGCGTGTCATGTCACCGCAGCTTGCAGGCACGTCTGACAATTCTAAAAAAATACGTCTTTACGCATCGTTGAAAATGATCTTTATAATGAAGATCGTTGGAAATGGCCTTCTTTCATTTTTTTCTGCAAAATGAAAGATTGCCAGAAAGAATAATTTTTTACAGGGAGTTTATTTCCACAGCCATCCTCAAACCGAGTACAAGTTTTCAACAGTGATTTCGTCAGTTACTTCTTCGACAACTTGCAAACGATGAACTCGACGTTTAAAAAGGCTCGATTCCTTGGCGTTGGTCGTTCATGTCATTATTTTAGTGGATACTTCATCACTTTTGTGGGAACTGTAATTTTTCTGCCTCTAAAGTAACCGTCCATGTTCCACTTGGTTGTGCTTATAATTACACGAAGCACAATCCAAGAAAATTGGAAACAATTTTGCATTTCTATTTGTACTCACTGCCCTTTCCAAACATCGAGCAGGTGAACAGACTACGCATCGAAGAAATGCAAGAAAAACGCCGACTTACCCGAAGATACAAACATACAGACATGTCGGTGACATCAAATTTCACAAGGCGGCAAGTTTAATATTCGGAAAGAGTATGGTCTAATTTTTGTAAACCGGTAGGCTTATACGGGGCCAACAGGGGTCATACCCCCCTCCCAAAGAACTTAACAATTTTTATTGATTCTTTTGGTCGGTTTCATCTCCCTTATAAACGGCTTACATGTAGCCTTACCCCTCAAAAAAGCCATATATAAAGGTTACGTAAAAAAATTTCGGCACCCTGAAACAAGTTTGCCCCTAGCCCCCTAAGCTTGGTTCTGGATCCATCCTCAGGCAGAGAAGAAAAACATGAACGTTCTTGGATTTTCTAGTTGCCTTTCTGGAACGAACCTTTCTTCAAAAGTAAACAGGGCCATATCCTCTTTTTGTGAAGTGGACTAAAATGGTATATTGAAAAATAATAAACTTGTAAGAAAAATACACGTTCGTGCTCCTATATTTGGAAAAGCACAAACTTGTTTCTTTTTAACATTATAGAAAAGAAGATGGAAACTGCGTTAAGTACAACGAAGGCTGTCAATCACATTAAAAAATTAAACTAGCAGGCACGATCGGCTTGAAATCCTTTTGTTTGTGGCTCTCAAGCCTTTATCCTCATGCTGGATACCAGGTGGATGCGGGATACC